ACTCACGATAGAGCGTCGTTTTACTTTGGAAGCATATCGAAAGGTGCATTATGCACATGTAGAGGACTCTGGTATACTGCGGGATGATCCATGTCCTGGACCTATCTATCTAGGGCACCCGCCTATCCATCGGTCCATCCCGTCACCTACCTATCTATCCGAAAATTTCCAGACACTTGGAATCTCAACAACCCATTCCTGCCCCCTCTCATCGGTCACTTAGCAACTGCCCCTGCCTGGCCCTCTAATAATCCCTTGGTAGGTTTGCTACCTTCTCCCGAACTTTGCGCAAGCTCGCGCTCCTCCATTCTTTTATCCCATTCAATATGTTGCGCAACGCTGCCAAAGAGGCGGCAAAGCGAGCCGTCACCGAGCTTTCTCAGTATCCTAAACCTGGCGAGAAGCTCCACGGATTCACCTTGCTCAGAACCAAACACGTGCCTGAGCTCGAGTTGACTGCCCTTCATTTGAAACACGATAAGACCGGCGCCGACTACCTACACATTGCCAGGGAAGATAGCAACAATGTCTTCTCCATTGGCTTTAAAACAAATCCGCCCGATGATACCGGAGTCCCCCATATCCTCGAGCACACAACCCTCTGCGGCAGCGAGAAATACCCGATTCGAGACCCCTTTTTCAAAATGCTTCCTCGCACCCTATCAAATTTCATGAACGCCTTCACAGCGTCGGACCACACCTTTTATCCGTTCGCTACAACCAACGCCCAGGACTTCCAGAACCTGATGTCCGTCTATCTCGATGCGACGCTCCACCCTCTTCTAAAGAAGACCGATTTCACTCAGGAAGGATGGCGTATAGGTCCTGAAAACCCCCGGACTGCTGAAAGTGACAGCGAAGTCAAGCCTGAAGATAGCAAACTTGTGTTCAAGGGGGTCGTGTACAACGAAATGAAAGGCCAAATGTCCGACGCCGGCTATCTATTTTACATTAGGTTCCAGGATCACATATTCCCGTCGATTAATAACTCTGGCGGCGATCCTCAAAAGATTACCGACTTGACATATGAACAGCTTAAGAAATTTCATGCAGAGCATTACCATCCAAGTAATGCCAAGCTGATGACTTACGGAGACATGCCTTTAGCCGATCATCTGAAAGAGGTCGACGCACAGATGAGCGCATTCGAGCGTATAAACGCGGATATAGAACACCGGCAGCCCATTACTCTTACCGATGGACCCCGGACCGTTAAGCTTTTTGGGCCTGTCGATCCTTTAGCCGATCCTGACAAGCAATACAAGACGTCTGTCTCCTGGATTACTGGTGATACAAGCGATGTTGTCGAATCTTTCTCCGTGGCATTGTTGTCGTCGTTGTTGATGGATGGCTATGGTTCGCCTTTATATAAAGGCCTGATTGAGAGCGGCCTTGGTACAGACTTCAGTCCTAACGCTGGATACGATGGGTCGGCGGCTACTGGGATATTCTCTGTCGGTCTAACTGGAGTCAGTGAATCCAAGGTTGAAACGGTAAAGAGCGAAATACAACGGATACTGCGAGATGTGCGCGAGAAGGGCTTTGAACGAGGCAAGATTGATGGATACCTTCATCAACTTGAACTCGGCCTGAAGCATAAAACTGCCAATTTTGGTATGTCTGTGCTGCAGCGCCTAAAGGAGAAATGGTTCTCCGGAACTGACCCTTTTGATTCCCTGGCATGGAATGACACAGTCAGCGCTTTTGAAGCGAAACTTGCTGAAGGTGGCTACCTTGAAAAACTCATGGATAAGTATCTGATGAATGACAATACTCTCACATTTACAATGGCGCCCTCACAAAATTACGAAGCGGAGCTAGCAAAAGAAGAAGAGGAGAGATTGGCATTAAAGATCGCCCAAGCTACGGAGGAAGCAGGTGGTGAGGAAGCAGCTCGAAATTTTTTCGAGCAGCGAGAGCTCGAGCTCTTGGCAGAGCAAAACAAGTCAAACACTCAAGATCTCGGTTGCCTTCCTACCGTTTATGTGAAGGATATCCCCAGAAAGAAGGAGCCCATCACAATTCGCGACGAGACCTTGAATGGAACGGCCATTCAATGGCGAGAGGCCCCGACTAATGGGCTCACTTATTTCCGAGCCATTAATACCTTCCAAAATCTGCCGGACGAGCTTCGGGCTCTGATCCCCCTATTCAGTGACTCAATCATGCGCTTGGGAACCAAGGATATGACAATGGAGCAACTCGAAGATTTGATCAAACTGAAGACAGGGGGTGTATCTGTGAGCTACATGACCACGCCATCACCCACCGATTTTCACCAAGCTTCGGAAGGGCTTGTCCTGAGAGGAATGGCCCTTGATCGCAATGTCCCCGAAATGTTCGACCTCTTACGGAAGCTTATCTTAGAAACGAACTTTGATAGTCCAGAGGCTGCGCTCCGAATCAGGCAACTCCTCCAAGCTTCAGCTGACGGCATTGTGAACGATATTGCATCATCCGGGCACTCTTACGCTCGACGATATGCTGAATCTGGTCTTACTCGCGACGCATATCTAACTGAACAAGTCAGTGGACTGTCCCAAGTAAAGTTAATAACTTCACTGGCAGGTCGCCCGGAATCGGATCAGTTACAAGATGTTATCGAGAAACTCAAACAAATCCAAGCGATTGCTCTATCCGGCAACAACATCCGTACAGCTTTGACATGTGGGTCTGACAGCGTCGCGGGCAACACAACAGCCCTAACGCAGTTCATGGCCTCCCGAGCAAGCCAATCCATCACCTTCCCGGCTGGATCGAAGCAACAGCCTGCACGTGACATTAAAGCTTTCTTTCCCCTTCCCTACCAAGTATACTATGGCAGTTTAGCCCTCCCCACCGTGTCTTACACCTCCCCCGACAGCGCGCCACTACAGATTTTGGCACAGCTTCTCACTCACAAGCATCTACATCATGAAATCCGCGAGAAGGGCGGTGCATATGGTGGCGGTGCATATATGAAAGGTCTTGAGGGTCTTTTCGGATTTTATTCGTACCGAGACCCTAATCCCCAGAACACCCTCTCCATCATGAGGAACGCTGGGCGCTGGGCTGTTGACAAACAGTGGCCGGAGCAAGATCTAGAGGAAGCCAAGATATCCGTCTTCCAGGGTGTTGATGCTCCCAAATCAGTGAATACCGAGGGAATGCTCCGATTCGTATCCGGAATCACGCATGAAATGCAACAGAAGAGACGAGAGCAGCTTCTTGACGTGACAAAGGACCAAGTCCGGGAAGTTGCCCAAAAGTACATTATCGACGCACTCGCCAAGCAGAGCGAGCGAACCGCCTTCCTAGGCAAGAAGCAAGACTGGATCGACAACTCCTGGGAAGTGAAGGAGATCAATGTCGACGTCCCTGCCACTGACGCTGAGTAGAAATACTTATAGTGTCTGGTAGGACATATCAACGTTGTAAGTACTCGCCCGGTCTCATGATGGCTCAAGTCCCATCTCGCGAAGCCTATGAGCCGTCATTAGGCCGGGCGAGTGTACTAGAGATTTGTACACCATGATCATATATACCCACCTCCAAAATACATAGAGAAGTTAAACGTAGAAGATTTCCTGTTCCATTTCCATGCACCGTTTACTTATCACGGCCATCAATCATATTACCCCTTCCTAAAAACCTAGCGTTCGGATACGATACGTCTTCATGCTTTTGTGGTCCTTTGCGAAAAGGATCACTCACTTCCATAGCATGGAGACCACAATAAAACGCGAGATTGAAAAGTAATACCAACGGGTTTTTTTTCGGCTCTCTAGCAATGGAGTCTGCTGCAAAAAAAATCGAGTTGGCACGCTCATTCTTTCAGACTCGGATTCCTCAGCTTTGGAACTCCGGACTAATGAATAGAGTACATACATGTCTTTTAGCTTGACTTGGGGAATAAACCGGGCTGTTTGATAGGGGTGACTGCTCTTGAATGTCTGCAATGGTCTCCGTCGACGTTTCCTACTATGACCGGAATCGTTTGCGAGTGACTTTGTCATGGCTTGACTCCTCATACACGAGGCTCATGGTCCCGGCCACGACAAATGTTCATGTAAAATGGCGTCTTAGTTGGCATATCGTGCCGCTGGATGACATTGCGCCGTTCGCTACTGCTCGTTCGTTCTCCTTATACTCGTTGCTACCTACCTACCTACCTACCTACCGCTGGCGATACATATGGACACTCCACGACTGCCGCTCGTATCATATTAGTGTACTAGGAGCGAATACGACGATAGTCGCCGTATTGATGTGGTTCGTGAAGTCTCCCAGAGGCATGGAACTCCCGCTGCAGCGCCCTATACCTCGAGTTTCGTAGTTGACCATGATATCAAATACATAGGCGGAAAAACGCAAATGCTCCGTCTGCTAAGCCGCACCTATAATTACTACTATTACCTGCCTAGACTACATAACTACCAACCAACCAATGCAAGTCATATAATATACCTATACAACGCCGCATATATCAGATAGGCAAGCGGTGTCCCGGGCGAAACATGATTGGGTACGGGTCGCTCCGGGTCGAACTATGCACGCACATTCATGGATGAGATAGCCGGTCGGCCAGCCTGTCATGTAATGTACCTCTCTATCTAGTTCGATCCTCCACAGAAGAGGCTTCGACGGGACTTCCTTCCCCTGTGCAGAAGTAGGGAGCTAGCTAGCTGATCAGATTCCGGGAATCTCTTATACGTGCTTTCCGGCGGTAAGGAACAAGCACCGGTCATGCCATGGCAGTCAAAGTCCGTACGCAGTGAGTTTCAGGACGGATCAAGAAATAAATGCGCAGCGCCGTGTCAACTCAGTGACGGACGGGAGTTCCCTATCACCCTCACTCACTTCACGACCACGACAGACATAACAGCAGGACATCAAATCCTACAAACAAAACTCAAAAAAAAAAAAAAAAAAAAATTATATACATTCCGACCATCCAGGCGAAAGAAATATGTATCAAATAAAAGCAAAAAGATGGAATAAAAAAAATACGAAAAAGAAAGCTCCCCCGGACAGGCTTGAACTGTCAACCTCTCGATGATCTGTCGTAATAACAGTCGAACGCGCTAGCCAATTGCGCCACGGAGGACTTGTGATTGAAAATCGCATTGGTGTCTTGGAATATATGGGCCGCTTGTGAGACCCCCCGCTACAAAACTTAGTTGGGAACGCGACCAGTCGGGAGTTTGCTGCCACACACAACCGTCCATCGCTTCAACACGCATCGCAACAGGGTGAGGATCTATCAACCCGTAACGCATCCTGATAGCGACGCATCCTACTTGCTTGCAATCGCGAGAAATCACATACCTTACAGACCTGTACTCAGATTACACCCAGTCACGACATCGACGCATGGCGAGCCTTCCATGTGGCGGAATGCGATCTTCTAGTTTCTATTGGCTCCTAACCCCTTTGTAGATTCTACCTACACATGAGGCACGAAAGGGGTGATGATTGTGTCGTATGGAAGATACCATGTAGATTTATTTACCATAAAAGTAAATATCTGTGTATTTGCGACAGCCTCGCTGCCGTCAAATGTACAGGATCGATGATGTCAATAGGTGCTTATGCACAAGATCTGTCGATCAGGTCAGATCTCTACGATCGAAGTCATAAGATGCCGTCAATCATAATCAGTACCGATTAGCCCAGAGCGCTCCTGCCATCGCGATGCGTTGGTCAATTGGTGTCTTCCTTACACACCCTCACACCTACCATGATGATATGTGGTAATATGTCTCGACCCAAACACTCAGTCCGGTCAGGCCGGGACTTTACGTCTTTATCAGCCCATCGCGGGCTGTCACGGCCTCGTGAAACATGACAATTCTGGCCATGTCATGGCTGGAATATGCGTTCCTAATAGTAGCAGCCCCATCTACTATCGTCGCGACGGAATCAACGGCATCTCTCGCCGCTTGTTAACTAAAAGTGACCAGGAGAGCTCGGTAGTATGCGTCCGTATGGCCATGCTGCAATCTGGAATCTTCGCCTAGCAGCGAGGCCTTGATCGAAAGTGATCCATTTAAAAAGTTCCGTCGCCATGGTCGTCCGATCCCGCATCAGTATCATCGCTTACCTCTATGACGCTTGAGAACGGAAACTCGGCAGGAATCTCCCAGTCATCGTCACCATCGCCACCGTCGCTGTTATCAGCGAAGAAACAATCTCAGGGGGAATGAGAAATTTTCGTCTGGACGCCGGTTTCGGGGATCGGACCTTACGAGGAGAACGGTGCGGTCCAATCTCTCGTAATCGTCAGATTGGAGAAATTTCTTCCTGTACGCCCACCAATTTCGAGACTGGCGCTTCGTCTTATCTTGGGAGGGCGATAAACGGCACAGATGGTCCGGAAAACTGGCCTGATGGTGGTTTGGCCTTGCTGAACATGATGGGTCGCGTTGCATAGGTAAGCAGGCAAGTGGTAAGTAGGTAGATTGGGAGGTAGCAGAGCAGAGCAAGGACCTCCGATTCGATTCTGTGCTTCCAGGGGAATACTTGTGATTCAGCTGGTTTGGGGACCTGATGGACGGTATTCCGTATTTGTACTTTCGTAGATCACATTGCCGTCAAGACTTTTTTCAGCGCAGTCCTAGTGCCGTTGCTAGGTCTCACGTGGAGTGGGTTCGGGATATGATGAAGACGAGCTTGCCGCCGTTATTGGGCGTCGAAATGGCTCTTGTGTTTTTGGGGGGGGAAGGCCAGATCACGGCTAGAGGTAGGCAGTGATGTGTAATATAGGTGGAAATGTACGGAATACACACGGAAGTCTCTGTAATTTGCTCACGGGCATAAGGTTTGGCCAATCAGGTCAGCAGGCCCCTTTTTCCGGCTGACACTAGCGAATAAATACCTCAGGGGTTCGCAAGGCACGCTATTTGCATAATGCCCTATAAGTGCAACCATTACGTAGCTGATCCGGTCTGCGGCAGGCGTGATTGGACGGTTTGGTGCGGCACCGTCGTCGGTTAGGCAGATTGGTACGAGATTGGTACGATTCTTGACGCCAATGCAAGTGCCCGCGCTATGCAGCGCCCGGCAGGTACCGTCTACTTATGGATATAAAAAGTGCAGGTGCACAGATCCGTAATTACCGTTTCGTTACCGCCTGGAACTCGCTTCGATTCACTGAATCACACAGACACAGCGCACCTGCCGAGCTAGCCTGAGCTGCTGAGCACACGATCGATCTTTACACGGCCTACGCCTGACAGTGACACTATCTACACTTCACCACCCACCCGCAACTAGGACTCCCCCCCCATATGCGTATGCGGATGCGTACACTACTATCTAGTACAGAGTCCAGACATAGTGCATTGCCCCGGAGCGGACCTCTCCTTGGAATCGTACAATTGCACACGAGATTGTGGTGTGACCAAGAGACATGCCGGCCAAACCGACGCCGCATTTGAGCTGTCAATTCTCCTGCTACAGTTGGTGCGATGAGGTAGGTAGGTCTATCTGTCGGACCAGGCATCTTCTGCTCCTGCTCCTACTACTTCTCTGGTTCTCCCCATCGCGGGCTGTACAGGTTTCCCGTATTCCGTATGGAACAACACACAATGCCATGGTATGCTCGATGCTACCTCGCCATGTAATGCATATGTAGTGCTTAGGGAGATCGCCAGTCGTCCAACTACAAATTGTACCTAATAGCTCCTGAGCAGCCCTTCCAGAACACTGAATACTGAACACTGAACACTGAAACAGCCCAACAATCTACAGCCAACCACCCAACACCAGTCCTTGTCATCGCTAATCTCTTCCCTCCTGGCCAATTGACGGAACTGTGCACTCGTATGGCCCGACGGCCAATCATGCCGGGCATAAACACTCATATTCCACAGTAGCCGTTGTATAGGGGCTAGACCTACATACGTTGCGTGCATCATAGCTGCCGATGCTGAAATGAGGATGCCTCGAACTCCATTGGCCACTGGAGGGATATGAATTGGGTGTGCGTTGACGCGACCTCGGAGGCGACTGAACGAGAGGAACTACACCTCGAGGGCATCATCCCATCGCATGGCCGACGAACACAGGGGCAATACCTACCCTAACATCAAACGGTCTGCTACGATCAAAAATATGAGGGGCACGCGGACCCAGTCAGCGACAGAGACAGCACGCCACTTGACTCAGCATCTTGTCCAGTCGACGCTACCGAGACCTATGTCGCATTTACAATTCCAATGCGCGCTTAGACCCGCCATGGTATTTTATATTCACACTGCGCCCGTGAGCGATAACAGGGCCGATTTCGTCGCGGGCTTCGTTTGACATGCCTATATGAATACGGCCTGATGATTGGAGATTGATCTGGTACTGGCCGGTTACCTCAGGCAGCATGCAACCCTCGATGCAGGAGTTAGCGGCGCATACCCTCAAGACGGCACGGCGACGGAAAGGGGAGAGTGGATAAAGGGATTGCAGGCGACTTGCGGTCAGGAACGTGAGGAGGTGCTGAGGGGAAAGGGGAGAACTGCCGTCCAGGCCCGGGCACCTGAGTGACGAGCAGTGCGGCAGTGTGGACAAGGTTGCAGTTGTCCCCGACATGGTATGGAGAATACGTAAGTATGTAGACATCTTGTTTCTCCTGGCTGAACTGCAAGCAATATCGAGTGACGAGTTGGAGGTCAATTAGCCTGTATCTGTGTGCATCACGAGCCCATCGGTATGAGCAAAAGCGGCAAATGAGGCGGCGGCGGAGCACGACCAGTGACTAACAACAGATAACTCACCTTGAACATGAGATAGTTAGTGGCATTGACACTCAACGTACATATGATAACAGAGGGGAAGTCAGCCCTAGATCGTGTAGTAGGTAAGTATCTACCTGAGCATTGGTGGTAGTGGATAACATAAAAGTTCTGAGGTGCCGGAGGCCTGCGACTGTGGTCTCGGCAATCTCGACAGCAAATCAATTTTCATCCTCTCCTGGCGATCCCCTACTTACACCACTACCTACTTATATACGGTAGGAGCCCGGGTTTGCCCTGTCTTCTCGGGCTCTCTCGCTATACTTTCAGCACAATGAATACACCACGGACCTCCCATGTAGATAGTAATTGTCAACAGGGGAACTTGGTAGCGATGTGCACTGCCGACACTGCCACGCTTGCCATGATGAGTATCCCGCACTTTGTCTATTGAAAACACTAACTATGTGATACGTTCCAGAAAGTCCCCCTGGCATCGGCTGCAGTGCCCCAGTTGTATTCCTTGCTTTATATCCAGAATGTAAACATTTGTGGTTTATGCAGAATGTAACTTGAACCGGTAATCAACGCACTGGTTACGTGTTGTCAAAAGTGTATAATACCTAGATAGGGAGGTAGGTAGGTAGGTAGGTAATTACCATCTTGTTGTAGGTAGGTATCTGCTTCACACACAAGTCTATGGTGTATCTTTTGGCTGTGGGATAAGTAGGTAGGTACCTACTTGAGAGAGCAGAGGGATCGGAAAAAAGAACTGAAGATTTTTTCCTGAAAGCGGGATGGAGAGCGCAAGGAGAGCGCGATTTTCATGAAACCGAGGTGTTTTTTGTCCAACACCGGGGCGCGTCGCTAAGTGGCACGCCACTGGACCTCCTATTCCAACCAGCAGAACAAGCTATCACAGGCTACAAGCCCACTGTAGTGGCGGTATGGTCAGTTATTTGGCGTGCCTATTATTAGCGTAAGAAAGATCACTAATAGCGCTCTGGCCGTCCACGTATACTACCTACCTACTTATGTAGATAGATACCTAGCGTTCATGCTCAGTTAGAGTCAGTGGTGTTGTACGTACACTACCGGCACCCTCTGCCGTCCGCCATACCTACGTATATCGATACACGAACGATACTTTTCATTGCTGCTGTCATCCCCGCAGTTCCGGGTTTTTGAGTCTGTACTTGCTTGTACTTTCGACCTGTCCCGCCCCCACTGCCCGTGCTCCAGCCCCTCCACAATAATAAGAGGGAAAAAAAGTTCACCTTTCGTTGGTACACTACAAAAAGGAAATCACTCCCTCTTCCCACAAGTTGCCCCCCCCCTACCAACATCCCTTTTCGCACTCGAACTTGCTCTCCCGCTTCCT